TCTCTCTCTTTCTGGGTGGTTGGCGGGTGCTCTGGTGTGGTTTGCTCCTTCTATCCTATCAAACATCTATCGTCTTTTTCTCTCCTCCTTTTATATGTATGTTACTCTCTTGTAACACATCTATTCTTCGGCACTTATATGACCTTAATGTGTGGCAAGTGCCGTAAAACTCTTTTTAAAAAAAAGAATGCCCCTCTCTCCGTCTCTCTCTCTCTCTCTCTCTCTCTCTCTCTCTCTTTCTCTCTCTCTCTCTCTCTCTCTCTCTCTCTCTCTCTCTCTCTCTCTCTCTCTGTCTCTCTATGGAGGGCGCCACTGGTAGGTCGTACTTCCTTACTTTCCCTCTGTTGTTTCTGTCGGTCTGTCTTACCCCTCCTCCTATTTGAAGAAGGTAGGGGTGACCTGGTGCCAGAGGTAACTTGAGCGAGAAATGGCTGCCAAAGTTTGGTAACTTCCAGAGTGTGAGAGTCCTTGGAAACTCTAAATTTACTTTTTTTTTTGTGCCTGTAATAATTTTCAGTTAAAGCCACAGTAATCTGTTTTTAAAAAAATAGACATAAAAAGTGTGGAGCTAAAAAAATATATAAAATTAGATAAGAGTTGCAAAACAGGAAGAAAAATGCTGTTTTCTTCGATTTCATTGTTTCGATGAGCACCTGATGTCACCACGATGCTCCACATTTTTCTCTTCATCCAGCTGTCCAGAAGATGTTGCTGTTCCTGGTGTCGGTGCAAACAATCCTGTCCTTCATCTGCATGATCACCGCGCTGTGCCGTTCCTGCTGCTGCTCTGGAGGCAGGACCGTCTGCCACGGGATCTTTGCTTTCCTGGCCGGTAATGTTCCCTAAATTGTGTCGATGAGGGAGTGAAAACGGTGAAATGCTATAGGTTTAACGCGCCTATCAACACTGTCAGGTTATTTAAGAGGCGGGACCTCCGAGTTTAATGCCCATCTCCGAAAGGATAGAGCCAGGTGGGAAATTCATGTAAGGTGCCTTTCTCAAGGACACAATGTCGGACTGAGCTGAGCTTCGAACCCCCGAACCCTCAATTTCACAATAATGGGTCCTGTAGCCTAACCACTAGACCATCGACACCACTGATGAGGGAGTAAGAACACGCACTGTTACATGAAAAAATGTTGTTGTTGTTGTTTTCAAATCCCTTTAGTTGCGAGCATTTCGCTCTTGGCAGCGCAATGCCTCCCTCAAGTAACCTCATGTCCTTGTCATCTGGTCAGCGCCAGGGTAGAGCAGGCTTTGTAAGTCTGTAGGTGTGTGTAGGAGCTTGCGTCGAAGAACTGCCAGGTTTGGGCAGTGAAGGAGATGTTCAAAGGTCTCCTCGTGGTAGTCACAGTGTCTGCAATGGGGTTCCCGCATGGGGTTAATTTTATTTATGTGCTTGCTGGTGTGCAAGTGTCCTGTGCGCGCTCTGAAGATCAAAGTCTGATCAACATTAAAAAAATAAATATAAGTAAAAGTGTCTACAATAGAAAACATTAAGCTCAGTAGTTTGTAACTTTTATACATCATGTTTTCTCAAGCCCCCACCTTCTCTCTTTCTCTTTATCTCTCCCCCATCCTCTCTCTCTCCTGTCTCTCTCAGTCTCTGTCTCCTCTCTCTCCGTCTCCTCTCTCTCCGTCTCCTCTCTTTCTCTTTCTCTCTCTTTCTCCCCCCTCTCTCTCTCCCC